ATCATGTTCCTCTTGAACCTGAAAAGAACTTGCTTCATATTGTACCATTAAATGTCCAGTGTGTAGAGTTAGTGACATCTAGTGGTGAAGTTTCATGTTGCAACTGAACATTTATTTATTTGATATAAAAGTGGAGACCTCATGATTGACAGCTGACACTGACTCAGGATTGGTCGAGTGGGTGTCCCACCTTCTTACCACGGTTACCTCAGGTGCTCTGCTGGAGTCAGATTCCGGCCGGCGGCTCGTCCTTGTTAAACAAACAGGATGTGTGTCGATGTCACTTTGTTCTTTGCTTCCTTCGGGCGGTTTAGGTGTGGACCAGAATCACGGGGGGGATTATGCAGCCTTTGAGGAAGAGATTGAGAAGTTTGTCGCAGCCCTCAGACTCTGTGGGATTAAACCGTACATGGTAATGGACGGAGGCGCCGACTACACCAACAAGAAGCTTGAAACGCTGAAGCAAAGAGCTGTGGATCGTATCAGGAAATGCCACGAGGCAGCAGTGGAGGGCACGAGGAAGGGAGTCCTGCCACAGTGGGGCAAGATGGTGTTCATGCAGATGCTGGACCGGCTCGAGGTCCCGCTGGCCCAGTGCTACGGAGAAGCCGACGAGCAGATCGCCGCCCTGGCCAGTGAGTGGCAGTGCCCGGTGCTTTCCAATGACAGTGACTTCTTCATTTTCAATCTCCCGGCAGGACTGCTGCCCATCTCTCATTTCAGGTGGAAGGCAGTGGAGCGGAGCGGCTCGCGCTGCTACATCCCCTGTAAGAGCTACAACAGGTCCAGCCTCTGCATCTTCTTCAACATCCAGCCTCAGCTCCTGCCCACCTTCGCCACCTTGGCCGGGAACGACTACGTGAAGCTGGATAGGACGGGGTCGCCCATCAGATGGGCTCAGTTTGATCAACCAGGTGGAGAGAAACCAAGTCGCCTCAGAGGGCTGCTCACCTGGTTGAGGGGCTTCCTGACGCCTCAGGAGGCGCTGGAAGCAGCGCTGGGGCTGATGGGAAACCTGAGCAGCCAGAGAAAGGCCGAGGTGCTGCAGAGCCTGACTCTGGGGGTGGAGATGTACCAGGTGCCTCCCAGCTCCCTGAAGAAGTTCTTCATCCACGGGATCGCTCCTCTGTTTCCAGCAGTGCAAGTAATGAAATCTTTTTCTGGGTGACCGTCTCTTTACCGAGGTCACAGCAGGAAGTTCACCGACAAACATCCAAGTCAATGTGACCGTTGAGTTTTTTCGTTGTTCGTCGTTTAAAAAGACAAAAGAATCCAAATTGTGAATCGCTCAGAAACACAAAATCAGCAAACAGACAAATTCCCTCTCATTGAAAATAATCACACAAAGATAAAAGTTGAAACTTTATGGTTGTTTTTACGGCACACAGACGAGTGGTGTGACCAGACGAGCGTGATGAGATGAATGATGGGAAACACACTTACAAGCAGTTCAAAGACAATGTCCTGTTATGTCCCGTCCTCCCCAAGGTGGCGGCTCGTGTCCCGGACTGGATGCGGCGTCCTCTGACGCAGGCCCGGCTGTCTTCAGACATCCTGGACATTCTGCTGCTGCACAGGAAGAGCCTCATCATGCCTGTTGACCACCGAGACATGCCCAGCGCCCACCTGACCTCCAGGCCGATCCGCCAGCTGATTTACAGGCTGCTGCTGGGCGGAGACACTCGTCTTCAGGTGGAGGAGTGGGACAGAGACGGCCTCCAGCTGAAATTCATCTTGGTCCCACCAGACGTCAGTTCAGTCGCTCAGCAGCTCGAACTCCACTCACTGAACAAGGTGGAGATTTTACTAAAACCTAGAATTGTCCCAAATGAAGATTTACTTTAACTGGAGCTCAGAGTCCAAACGACGGGACCGAGGTGTGTCCCAATACTTCTGTCCATGTAGTGTTCCAGAATATCTTTATTACAGTCACTGGAGTAAGTGGACTTCACCCGTGTGTTTGCTGAATGTCGCCCCCAGGCGGAGCTATCCGAGCGCCTGCAGGTGATTCTTCAGGCCTTGAAGGTGACGGAGGCCTCTCTGAGCCGCCTGCCGCCTCAGCTGCGCCTCCCGGTGGCCGTCACCTGCTTCTGGCTGCAGAACGCTCAGCCTGCTCCAGACGAGACGCTGCTGAAGTCGCTGCTGCTGTGGCTGAGTGACGGAGACGCCCTGAGACACGGAGCAGGTGTGAGACACGGTTCAGATCACACGTTACGCATGTGTGTATGTGTGTTTAACGTGTAGGTGTGTGTGTGTGCGTGTTGCAGTGCTGCATCAACATCAGGAACCGAAGCTGGACTTGAACGTGGCTCACGCCTTCAACCAGTGGCAGGTGTGCCTGAAGGACAGCGTCCAGCTGAACGAGCTGCTGAGCTGCCCTCTCCCCGACCAGCACATCGCACGGTGGATATCCCTGCTGACGACAGGTCAAAGTTTTTTGAGGAAAGTGATGAATGAACCTTTACCGTGTTCTTTGTCGTGGTCCAGGTTGTATGAGGGGACGCTGCTCCACCGGCTGGTCCACAGGATGAGGACGACTGGAGGCATGAGGGACCTTCTGAGGAGAGATCTTCCTAACGTGAGACTGTACCGATCCATGCTGTCTGTTGTCCACCGCTCTCAGGAAGTGTTGACAAAGACCCAGAAGAAGGAAGCGGCTCTGTGGCAGCAGCCTCTGGACGACCTGCAGCAGCTGTCCGTCCAGTACGAAGACCAGGAGGCCGTGACTGAGATGAAGAGCATCATCAGAGCGCAGGAGGATCTGTTACTGGACGATGTGGTGTTGGTGAAAACAAGATACAAAACCAAAGAGAGACACAACCGGTGCAAGAACCCAGAACTGAACCGCAAAGAGGATTCGAGGGGCTGGCACCTCCTCTAACGTGCCTCAATTACCCACGCGAGTCACCGTCCAACAGGCAGCGATCAGGGGCCAAAAATAACCAGTCGATGATTTACAGACGATGAACGACCGAGACACGTCACAGAGCTGAGAAACGTTTCAGCAGCAGGTTTCAACACTGACGGTGCTGCAGAGTTTTTCTACCATTTTAATTTGGATAAAAACCGTCAGGTGTGTGAATAAGAGTTCATCTAGTAACAGTTCGATTAAAGGTCTGATTCCACGTGATTGTTTATTATCAGCTGAAGCTTCTGGTCCAACACGTCTCACTGACGCTCGATAAGTATTTTACATGTTTCTGTTTTTTGAGGAGATGATGATGAAACATGAGGGAAACGTTAAATCAACAGTTTTTATTCTATTTTTACAGTTTGAATAAAGAGTTTTAACTGAAACTGTGTCTGTGAATGACTGAGTCAGAACAACTTTCATTTTATTCTCACTCACATTAGAAGTGAAAGTGAAAATAAAGAGCGGGTTGTGTGACTGATGTTTAACTGATTTGAATTTGTCTTTCTCAGCGAAGTATTTCAGATTTTCAGGCATTTGTAAAAGAGCGAATGTGACGGAGGAAGGAGCTTCTCACATACAGAACCTCATTTAATTCACACGTCGAAGTTTCAGAGACAGAAACTCCAGAGGCCTGAACTAAGAAGCAGGATTTGTGGTTAACTTCAGGTTTAATTCAGAGTTTTCAGTCCCATGAAGCTCGTTCCCTTGTTACCGGGTAAATCACCATGGTAACATGTTTACCAGCTGACCGGCTCCAGGTTAAGTTGGAGATAAGAGATCAAACTGTATAAAGCTCCGCCCACTGACCA